TTTTTCTTATGTTGTCAGATGGAAAAAAAAATTATGTATTAAAATGAAGTGAGATCGGTTTCTGTGTTTTACTAGAATAGCAATAAAATAATGAGAGTCCTATTATTTTAGAATAATAAGACCTTGTACAATGTATGAACTCCAATTCATTTGATTAGTCCTCTTCTGACTTTTGCTTATATTGGTGTGTTAGAATCTGGACTAGAGGGAATATATTTTATAAAATTAAGTGGTTTACTGATCAGAAAATATATTTGTCACACATACAGTTTCAATATTTACAAACACCCCTCCCAAACATGAACATCTTAATTATTTTATGTTTTATGTGATTCATCTTTTATCAAAGTTCTTGATTATTCACCGCAGAACTGCAATGCTTATAAAATCCATTTTATGGACACAAGCTCAAATTGTAGGTTTCCAATTCATTTCTCAACTAAACCTTTTCATTAATCTGCATGTGTATGTTGGGGGGTTAATAGCGAACATTGATTAGCATACTGTTTTTAGATGTTTTTCTGGCCTGTTTGATCTTTTGAGCAGATCAAATGGTTAAAAAGAGAAGAGCGAAGACGTAAATGGTTAAAAAGAGAAGAGCGAAGACGTCTGGTTAAGGTCACAGAGAGATCAAACCCCTGACTGCTGCTTTGAGAACTAATAGCTTTTGTATACAGGATGGCCGCTCGACAACTACAACATGCACTGCCCTGAAACATTTAAAGCATTGAATATATGCATCATATTTTACCCTCAACATGACAAAAAATAAATCATATTAAGCCCTTAATATCTTTATATTTACAGATATTCTTAGGATTGTTTAATGTAATGACTGAAGTGATGATAAACCAAAACATACTCCCATTCATTCATGAGATATCAACATGAATAAATGGAGTAATAGCAATAGGACAATACTAATTCATACACTATTTGCTGGCGTTTTCAAAGCAGCCAGACCAGGAGCCGCATCAACCAATCATTGGTGCTGATTGGTTGACTGGGCAGGTTGCCAGTCCGTCAGAGATAATAAACCAACAGGAGAAAATAATTTAAGTCACTGGAACCCAGCAGTGGCAGCTGGCCAGGTCTGAAACTTACACACAACAAAACAAACGGCACGATTTCAATTGCATGAAGCAGCATTTCCCTAGAAATGTTGCAGGTACCAGAACCTTTTTTCCAGTTTATTAGAAGCAAAGCAGTTTTTTCTTAGATGGCAAACCAGGTGTTACTATCAATTTTAGGAAACAGGACCAACATTTATATTCATATCTGAAAGCAAAATAGTGGTTATACTTTTAAAGCTAATTACAGCTTTACTTTTCGAACAGTTTTGATCAGTTTAACTTCTTAAAGTTTATTTAGGAAATGAACCGCTGTTTCTTCTAGGCACTATAAGTGTTTCTAAAACAGGAACACACTTTTTTAAACAGTGCTTGGTGTGATGTCAAGACGCAGTAGCTTTTTCCATCTGATAATGCAAACCCATTTTTTCCTGTTACGTACTTCTGCTTTACTGATGTACCTCTGATTGATTATGAACCTGTTTTCTGCACAATCAACAATTGATATAGGTAGGACTCTCAAACCTTTGAAAGTGTTCATTCTGTTCACATATTGAGTTGAGACTGAAAAACTGCCTTTCTTACCAAAGTAATCAACTCAATAAAATTTACATAAATGTTGAAATATATACAGATTTCTTAGTTTAGCCATGTGGCAGCACTACAGAAAACTCTTTAGCAGCTTTTTCAGAGACATATTAAAGATTCCCATGTGAACTTATTTCATTTTGGACTTTGGGAATTCACATCTTACAATAATTAGATATTACTCATTGTTGATATGAAAACCAAGTGAATTTGGAGGTTTTGTTGCATATTATTTTCCAATCCTTTGCTCTCTCTTTAAAGAGTCAAAGGATCCATAGAAATGCATTTTGCAAATGAGCAAAAACTAGTGCAGTCTTAGATCGTTTTGGCAGCACTAGTCAATCACTATCGCTATTGCCACCATATTGACAGACACATTAAAACAGCAATAAATTAGACGATCCCTTTTTCAGTTTTTTGTGTTTCACTAATATAATGATAATACACACCCAACAAAGAAAAGGATCTTATAAACTGCTGAATAAAAATGTGATATGTAGTAGTGGTGTTGCTGCCTTTGCTAATGTTTTTCTGCTTTTTGTTCATAGCAAACAAATACCCTGGGTTATGGGTTAGGGTCCAATTCAATGTTTCTAAAAAGGTGTGTTGAAAAATTTACTTTGATGCCAACCTTTTGGCTTCAAAGTTGGCATCAAAACTACTGACGTTCTGATTAGTAGTAAATACATTTACAGCTGTGACTAATAATAAAATAAGAAACATGAAACACAATGTGCCAAACAATTTATCATTACAAAAATGGTGTTAATGCAATATGTTAAGGATTTTGTATTTTATAACAGTTCACACTCAGACAACAAAACTAGTCAGTACCTAGCCTGTTTTTGTGCTGAACATATCTATGTACATTGCACAGATTCTCTTTCACACTTCAAGCAAGTGTCATTGTGTCTTCTGTTTTGGTTTGCAGAAATGCAGAATATTTTGTATTATTTAAATGGTTACAGACTTGCCTATTACCATGTTTAACATTGGAAATATTGTTATACTAATAATATTCAATTATTATTCAATAATATTCAATTATTTTCATAGTAGCTCAGGGAGAAGGTGGAGGAAATTGATCTTTTCACATATCTGTCTCATGGCGACAGTTCTAACAAAAATGTATGTAGCTTTTTTTGTAAAAGTTACATACTGCAGCTTTAACACTAGTTAAGACAGTGGAAATATTTCATACTTGTCTGATTATTTTAATTAAAGTCATATGCCTTCAATAATGTTTTTTCTGCAGTATGAGCAATAGTATTGCTTATCAGGTATATACCGCAGTGTTTATTGAGGTTAAAACTTTTTTCACCATATTATTGATTAGAGGACATATTGTGTGGTTCATTACAGTATTCTCAAGAAAATGTAAATGGTAATGCCCCGTAAATTTTTGCTCTAACTGACTTACAACAACAAAGTGTATTATTACTACTTCTATTCAAGCTTAGACTTCCTGTTTCTTATCAAACTGCTAAAGCAGATTCTACAGGAAACCCAGATCAACAAAATGATAAGTAGCATAATTGCTAAACAGAATGCCATCACATCTAGGCAGTAGTAGGCATACCAGGGCATCTTACAAGACTCGGAGCGCAAGTGTGGTGCACCCCGATGCCTCATGACATACTCGATCCAGAATACAGCACTGTCAAGGGGTTTCATTGGTT